CTTTATTCACTGGAAGTTTCCCCCGGAAGGTTATGTTAAACTTAATGTAGATGGCTCCAACATAGACAGTGGTCAGAAGACTGTGTGTAGTGGTGTAATTAGGGATGCTGCAGGGACTGGTTAACTGGCTTCAAATAATTCCTAGGAAGTGGTACGTCTAATTCAGCGAAAATTTGGGGCTTCTTGACATGTATGAAACGGGCTTGGCAAATAGGTTTTACGGAAGTCTATGTGGAAGGTGATTCAAAGGTGGCATTGGAGTTTATAAGGAAAAGGTGTGGGGAAAGTCACCCCTTTTCCTCTTTATTTATCAGAGCTCGTAGCATGCTTCAAAGAGACTGGGTTATTCAGCTTAATCATACCTATAGGGAAGGCAATTTTGTAGCTGATTGGCTTGCAACACATGCATCAAGATGGGCAGCTGATTGTGCTTGATATTCCTCCAACTGCTTGTTTGGAGTTGCTACGAAATGATATAAGGGGAGTTAGTCTCCCAAGGATGCCATTATAGGTCTTTTATTGTTTTTGTTTTAGCTTTCCTTATTATTTTCAAAAACAAAAGTGTACAAAATGAATCATGGGTTTCCCAATCTGTATTTGTATGTTGCGTCGTAGTGTCGTACACACATTTTCATTTTAACAACGCTGTTCAATGTTGATTTTAAATTTTTTGTTTACAAACTATATTATATACTCCCGGACCTATACTAGATTACATTATGTACTTTCGGGAGTACATAGTGTAATTTGCAAAAATTTGTAGAAAAATGTTTGTAAACAAATCCTTTCCCTTCTCTTAATTGTTGCATATGCATAGCTTTTTTTTTGGGCATTTACACAGATTTTTTAACATCATATTAATTGTTGCACTTTCTCTTCACAATCTGACCCACTTATTTTTATATAAATATAGCAAAAAAATAATTTCTGTAATATAAGTAGAAATATTTTCCCATTATATATAGGCAAAAGTATTTCTGCCACTGCAACAGAAACACTTTGTCCGCTATAGACACATAGGGTGTGCATGACAATCTTCCTAGAATCAGTTTTTTTTTTTAATTTTTATTCCTGGGAATAGAAATTGATAGAAACAATGTTTGAGAAAATCGATTTATTTTTTGTTCCCAAGAATGAACCAATTCAACTTATGTGCCGAGGAACATAAAAAAGAATATAAAAATTCTATTTTTTTTGTTCCTCGGCACAAAATAAGAAATACTTCTCTCTTTCAATCACTTTTCATCACTACCATCATCACCACCCCACCATCATCCCAACACAACCACCGCCACAATCGTCGCCACCGTTGTTGTACCACCACCACGATGACACCGCCACCATCACTACCACTATGTTATCGTCACCACCACCACCATTAACATTGCCCCCTCCACCACCACCACCACCACCACCACCACCACCATCTCCGCAGCCACTGCTGTCACTACCACCACCACCGCCACTGTCGCCACTGCCACCATCATCGCTGCAGCAACTGCCGTCACCACCATCGCTGTAGTCACTGCCGTCACCACCACCGCTGCAGTCACTGCCGTCACCACCACCACTATGCCACCACCACCGCCACCACCTCCATCGCCACCATAACCACTAACTCCACGCCACCACCATCACTACCACCATGCCACCACCACCACTACCATCACCATGCCACCACGCCACTACCATTATCACTACCATCATGCCACCATCATTACTACCACTAACGTCGTAGCCACTTTCGTCACCACCACCAGGCCACCATCACTGCCACCACCACTACCATCGCCATCGTCACCACCACCACTACCACCGCCACCGCCATTACCATCACCGTTACCAACCTCCGCCACCACTACTACCATGCCATCATCACCATCACCACCACGTTGCCGCCATCGCTGCTACCACCACACCATATGAAAAGGAAATTGATGATCCAATTTTTTTTTATGCTTACTAGGAACACTTTTATTCTATTATTTATTGTGTCATCAAATACAATTCTCATTCTTGGTATAAAAGTAGAACATGTTATCAAACACATTTTTTTTTCTCAGAAATTGTTCCAAGGCACTGAAATAGAAAAAAAAAATTTTTTTTCAGAAACAGTGCCAGAGAACAGAATGGTTGTCATGCACATCCATATAAACCAGGATCCAACATCGAATCCTGATTTATATGAGTGTGCATTAGAACCATTCTGTTGAAAATGCAGAAATATAAGGGGATCTTGAATATACCTCCCATCATTGTTATGTCTTTAGTTGCTCCTTTGATTGATCCAATGCTTTGTTTTTAGGTGCATCTAAGCTCTCACTCTTGTCACTTAAATGATGCATGTGTAACAAAATACGAAAGCAAGATTATGGACCTAAACCATAACACACATCCCTTAAATAACTTATGACCATCACAGAGGTAATTATGGATGTGCATATTTAGTAAGTAGTTACTGAAGTTGTTGGAATAGTCATGCATGGGATATGATGGATCAATTTTTGATTTATCTTCTGTAACCGGCCAGCTGAAGATAAGGGAAGCTTTACCTTTGGTAATACTAACTGAAGAAAGAGAAAAATTCAACATAAATTAGTTTAGAGCATACAATAAGTATTTAATTAAATAACTTTTATTAATATATTTCTCTAAACTATGTTAGTCTTACATCAAATACGTAAAATTAAAGAAGTCATTTGATATTAATCTCATATCAAATAAATATCAAAGAAAGAGGTAAATCTTCTCAATATAAAATGGAGTCAAAGTGCCATTTATACTTGCCATCTGCCCACCATTAAGTTATAGACCCACTCATCTTTCAATATTGTTTTGATTTGACTATGATCATGGAATGAACACCATTGAAAATCAACACTCAGTAAGTCTTTTTGTTTTTTATTGAGGCTAGACTTGGGCTGGGTGTTGCAATAATAGTTTTTCTATTGCGGAAGGCCTGGTGAATTGAGTGACTATAGTTCACTTTTTGTCAAATTTAAGCCCAAATAGCTTGTAAAAGTTGTAAACTTGAGTCTTAAACTCAATTGAGCATCGCATCATTACAAATTGCATGATCTTGTTTCCATACCTATGACTTTTGGAAAGGAATAGTTAAATGTTTCCTACTCTTGAATATCGATAATAAACATGTTATTCTTAACTTACTTGCATGTGTTCTAAAAATAAAAATGAGCCCATGTACATCAATATTAAGTAATAAGCAACATAAATATTTGTAATAGCGGTAAATCATCCATATAATCCAAATGAGAGCTCAACAACCCAATTCAATCATTTATTTAACCAGTTCAATTTTTCAAAGTAGATGCATGTATATAGTAGCGTGATAAATCAAACTTTTACTGAACGATCATGAAGTGCTCGTGCAGCTTAGAAATCTTTGCTCATGATTGCACAAAATTTTGAAGAGCAATTCCTTTTGATGCTGAGTAACATAAGCCTGACCATTCAAGAATCATAGCCTGTTGTTTACTTGAGTTTTCAAAACGCCAGTGAAGGCATGCAACAAATTAATGATGAAGCCCACAAGTCAAGACTTTCTTGTTGAGTGCTAACTTCCCTCAGAACCAAACCAGTTACAGACTAGCAAGCTACCATTTTCCAATACAACAGAGGATTTGGTAACGTTAGCCTTTGGCGTGTTGAACACAACGCCAAAAAGCTTCAATGAATAGTGATCTAATTAATGGCCTTCAATATATAGTGGCTTGACTAGAGGCACTAAATATATATGTTGATAAAACAAACATGCATATCTTTACGTCTAGTAACCACTTTAGGGTTGTATAGTACCTCTCTATGATGAAAGTCGTTCCTTGACATAAGGTATCCTTTATGGGACTTAGCCAAGAGTTACGGACTACTCACAATTACATGCAATTTTTTATGTGGCTAATGGTTTTATTCATGATTTAGTGACATTTTATGTTAACTTGCACATGTTAAGTTTATTTAAAAAAAAGTGTATTAATAATCAGAAGCTGTGGGCATGAAATATGTGCCTCCTTCACATGCATTAGCTGTCAACAAAAGGTTTGAGAATAACATGTATTAGTTAGGACTTGATAAGAATTAAAAGACTACTATAAGCTTTACTTTATCTTCGTAAGTGAATAAATGTTTTATTTATTTATTTTTCAAAATAAAAGTATCTTTTGAGACTAATCTCCTTCGTGGTATAGAATGCTAAGATTTTTGCCACTTGTCCCAAATTATTTCATCCAAGAATCGAATGAAAAACTTTTCAACCCCATTTGTCAATTTTTTGGACACAATCCACTTACCAATTGTGTCACCACTCAGATTCACCCAATATTTATTTTAGATAATTTTGAGATAGAATCACAAAGGATGAAAAATGTAGATAGTATTAGCCATTTAGTTAGCTACGTGACTAGTGTGGTCTAGAAACGCAAAAGACAACTAGAAGATGACTCTCTATGTGAGTCGGTGTTCTTGTTTTTTCTTTTTCACAATAAAGTTGCCTCTACGCGTCTAATTCAACCACTTTCAGACTTTTGAATTCTTTTTCCTTGACCTATACACTGATCACTGCCATTTGTTACACGCAACTATGCTAGCTATATACTAGCTCTTTTCTTTTATCATCTCCATTGTTCTTTTCTCACTAGGATTTAGCTTCTACAAAGGACCACAATGAAACATATATACAAGACAAAACAACCTTCCATCCATTTCCATGCATATCCGTACCAAAAAATGGGAAAACTAAACTGATTTCTTTTGTATATATTTAATAACTAATATAAAATCTCCAACCCAAAAAAAAAAAAAAAAATCTATGCGAAATATTAATGCTTTCCTGAATCCCAAATAAAAAAAAAATGAACAAAAAAGGTCATAAAATAATCAACTTAATTTATGAGCCCAACAGAGGGAAAAATAAATAAAATTAAATTAATCTAAAAAAAATTAAAGGGGGTGAATAATTCCCTTTGAGATTTGAATTGCTGATTTTATTGCTTTCCATTGCTATTGTCACTGCTTGTGATATTGCCATTGCTGTTGTTGCCATTATTGTTAGTACCATTGTTGTTTGGCTGAGCACCACCAATAATGGAAGTGATAGCTGCTGCCAAAGCTGCAGTGAAGTTTGGATCAGCAGCAATGGCAGCACTAACTGTATCAGCAAGTTGTGGTGGTGCTTGTTGTGGGTGATTATTACCCAATTGTACTGAAGGGTCTGCATCTTGAGACATTTGTAAACCAGAAAACTTTGATTGGTTATAGAGTGCTTGACCAAATATCTGAGGCATTAATGATGCTGGTGAATTTGCAAAATTCTGAGGGAATGGAATTTGTAACTGATTTGGAGGCCTTGGGAACTGTAGAGGGTTTGGAGATTGAGTTAAGTCCAATGTAACTGTTGGGAATGGAGCAGATGCTGAGATAGTTGCCATGCTTGAAGAACATGGAAGCAGTGTCCTTGTTAGGAAGTTTGCATTCATTAGTCCATCATTGCTTGACATTGATCCTGAAAGCAACATTCTTGCAGCTGATGATGTTGTTTGTGCCATTGCCATAGCTGCTGGAGGCAAAGGGTGATTGTGATTTCCTTCATATGTTGTAATAAGTACAGTTCTGTCTTCAGCACACCTTTGTACCTATAATTAATTTTAAGTATCAAATACTAGATTATAAACCACTTGATTTTTAACCTACCATCCTTCAAATTAATAGTATTCTCAAATTTGTGTATGGAAACTTAATTGAGCCAATACATTAAGGTAATGACTAATGTTATGGTATAGTGTGACATAACATACCTGTTTTCTAACTGGGCAACCAGCAGCCATAGTGCACCTATAATAAGCTCGAGGGCATGGGTTTCCTTTGGCCATTTTCTGTCCATACTTTCTCCATTGACACCCATCAGTGATCTGAGAAAATTCAAAAATTTCTATTAGCTAAAAAGAACAACAATTTATCATGAACAAAATTATAAAGATTGAAGTACACTCTTAACATATATACCATTGGTGCCTCTGATCGAACTCTAACTGAAACTCTTGCCTTCCTCATTGTGGCCTCTGCTTGATCAACATTTTTTGGAGGACTGAACCTTGGAACTTTATCAGCAGCAAAAGCCTGACCTGAGAGGCTATCATCTCTTTCAATCCCCATATCAAATTCCTTCTTATCTTGATCATACACAAGTCCTTCATCACTAACATTCTTACCATTCTTACTTGTGCCTAATTCCTTCGAAGCCACTTCTATGTTATTCCCTGGTGATCCTGACTGATCCTGAGTTCTTTCCAGTGATGAAGAAGAGGGTTCATCAGTGTCAGCATTAGTAGTCAACCCAAGATCCATAAACTGCCTTGGCACCAATACACCACCACGCTCAACTTGCTTCTTCTCTTTTAATTTTCCATCAAACACTTGTTCTTCAGCATCCTCAGTCTTCTGGTCCTGCATCAAATTCATCAAATGCATCTGAAGAGCATTGTAATTGGTATTAAGCTGATCAAGCATGTCCCTCAACCGATGATTCTCCACCTTCATTCTCTCAAGCTCAGCCTGAAGAACAGCCAGCTGAAAACAGTTCATGGCACATGGATTCAAACAACATGACATATAAATGCTCAATTTTGAACCCCACCACACAAAAAAAAATGAAAAATGAAAAAGAGAAGCACCCCATGATAGAGAATTTCTTTAATTAGATGTTATCTCTATCTTTACCTCGTTCTTAGTTCTTCTGTCTTCTGAATTAGGTGATACATCGTCATCCACCATAGATTGATCACTGCTAGTGTTGGTAGTAAGAAGATTCAGACCAGTCTATTAAAAAAAAAATCAGAGATTCATGAGCACACCAACAAGATGTTCATTGTGCAATTTTAGAACAATATAATATGTATAATATATGATGATGGGTTCACTCACGTTTACTTTGAATTCCAACATAGGTGGAGTGGTGGAATGATCATGTGTATGATCATTGTCAGGCAAAGAGGCAGAGGAAACCTTATCATGGTTGTTGTTCTTGTCAGTGAAGAAGTCCATTTCTGTTCTATTGTTGTCATGAGATGATGATGGAGAGGCATGGTTGTCTGTAGAACAGTTAAGGTTTACTTGGAAGGGTATGGTGCTGCTGTGTTTGGGTGAAGATCCCTTGGTGCTGCTAATTGTGGCTTCCATGTTGTTGTTGTTGTTGTTGTTGTTGTTGGGACTATGACTATGTTTCCACTTGAGGTTGTTTATGTCTTCAGGGAAAGAGTTTAGAACAATTGGTTTGTGGAGAAAGAAGTTCCCAATTGGATCTGAATCCATGAAGAGTCCACCCCCTCTAACCATAAATTCCAAGAAAGTTAGATTGAAACTGGAAAGAGAAAGAGAGAGAGAACGTGTGAAGTCTTTATAAATGATGCAATGGACTCGGCAATAAAATGGGGTAGCTGAGTCTTAAGAGGATGAACAAAGGTGTACTAAGTGTCTTAATTTTCTGTTAGCTTTGAATCTTGTAGTATTTTTTGCATTTGAGTTTTACATTGCAGCATATTCCCTATTATTTATTTATTTATTTATTCGCTTTGTTTCAAAGGAGTTTTATAAAAAGAAATTAAGAATAAAGAAAGATTAAAATGACCCTTAAATGTATTGTTCTTTTTTTCTTAGAATTCCTCATAAATGAAATAGTTATGATATTATTTTCACAATCTAACAATATATGGGAGATTGTTCATGCTAAACTATTGTTTTTTTTTTTGTTTTTTTTTTGTTGTAGAAAGTCATTTACAACTTTTAATAAAGATGCCTTAGAAAGAAACTTTGGATAATGAGTCTCATCTACCAAAACATTAGTTGGTTGACCAGACTATATTCAACAATTTCCACCCATAATATAGGGGAGAAATTTGTCTAAATTAATATGGGTACCCTAACAAATTTTGAATTTGGATACAATTTAGTTTTCTTGGGCGTTATTGTTTATAATATAATTCGTTAACATATTTTCATTGATGTGGTGTGAATGAAGCCATGAAAGAAGGAGATTGACGCGTTCCCAAAATTCACTACTCCTATTGGCCCGGCGCCTAAGGCTCGTGAAAGTCAAAGGTTCTGGTGGGCCCAGTGGAGCCCACATAGTGACGACTCAGTGTGGGTCCCTCCCTGCATCCTTTCAACCTTGACTTGGACACATAGAATGACCCGGGATTATACAATTATGATTAACATTTAAATAAGTTTTTCATGTTTTGCTTTAATATAAAAAAAAATTAAATTATTAAGATCTCTGCTCTTAAAAATTAACCACAACAGATCTTAAATATCCCTATTGTTTTTTTTTTTTCTTTATTATCCCTATTGTTTTGTTCTCATGTCCATGTGTTGGATACACTCCCACTTTTTGTTGTCTTTTCTGTTCTGTCTTCTGACTTTGTTTTCTCTTCTTCTACCTCATTCTCCATCAAGATCTCGCAAATAAATTATAGACAATAAAATTTACGAATTTATAGGATCATCAAAGTATTTTTTGTTTTACAAGAAAAAAGTATTCTCGTCATTCCATGTGTTCCGGAACATTTGACTACGAAAAAAGTAAAAAATTTCATTTTTTTTTTTGGATAATTTCAAATTTTTTTTTTTTTGTTGAAACAAATGACTGAGATTTTACCAAGTTGGCTCGAGTTGTTAAAGCACATTATTACTAAAGAGATTTGGGTAAAAGTTGCATCTCTAACCAAGTCAAAAATATAAAAAACAGGTACGAATTTTAGAAACACTTATATTAAAATATTACTAAGGGTCTGTTTGGTGTGACGTATAAGGCATGATAGTATAAGCTTATATTATACGTTATGACATTTTCAGTTGTTTGGTGTGACCATCGTATAGTATAAGTTTATACAGCATAATCTCTTAATACATCAAAACGATGTATAACTTAATCGACCTAAGGGTGAGGGATAAGGCCTGATAAGAAATTGATGTATTAACATCGTTGACCAATGTAATTTTCAAAAATTAATATATTATTTTAATATTAATCTATTAAAATAAAATTTTTTTCAATATATTATTTTTTAAAATATTGAATATTTTTGTTTTTATAAAAATTAATTTATATTTTGGGCACACTGATAAATAAATTTTTATAAAAATTAATATCATATGACATTTTTTGAAGAATTATATAAATTCTTTATTAAAGTTAGTAAAAATATTTATTTTTATCATATATAAGTATTATACAGTGCATTATCAAATACTAGATGATATTATCTTATACAATATATTATTTTATACAATACCGTGTCAAACGCTGGATAATATTAAAATTCAATCAGGTCTTATACAATCAGACCTTATACTCTCAGGTCTTATACTATCAGGTCTTATCCTATACTATGCACCAAACATGCCCTAATGTACTAAAAATCACTTATTGTTTCACTTATTTTAGAAGCTTGTTTAACTTTCAAAAACAATTAGTACCTCTACTTTTCTTTAACTTCTATTTTTTTATGAAAAAAGGAAGAAAAAGAACGTTTGCATACAAATATATTTAAAAAATTGTGATCACTTGTTTAAATTTATTTTATTTTTTGTGAAAAATAAGTCAATCCAAGCAATCTGTAATTTTTGGTTAACAACTTAATCTAACAGAGCGAAGAAGACTTTTGTTAAATATTCATTCTTAAGCAAACTTTTTTTAAGATGCTTTTCAACATAACAAATAGAAATACATGATATGGTATTGCAGAGTGAACTAATTCCTATTTACCAAAAAAGAAAGAGTGAACTAATTCCTCTCTTGATCTGAGCAGCTGTGGATATGAGGTTGATCCTTTACGTTCTCTTTCTATTCTTCCTAGTAGTGTTGTTAAATCCAACCCGGGCATCGACCCGGACGGAATAATAGGTCATTGGGTCACTGGTCGGATCGATTGACCCGAATATATATATATATATATATATATATATATATATATATATATATATATATATAAACATATAAATTCAATTATATTCTCTATATCTAAAATGAATTAAACAATGTTCACTAAATAAGCTAAAAAACATGAAGCATAAATAAATAAAAATGCACGCTATTACTATGTTAATTTAAATTGCAACTCAGAATTCCCATAAACATACCTCTCAATGACATTGAACTCATATTTTTCAAATTCAACTAAATTAAAATGACATATGTCACGTTCTCTAATTTATTATTTCGCAAATTACTTCAGTATTGAAAACTAAAATTTGAGGTCATTGTAGAAGAGTATACTAGCAAATAAAATTATAAAAAATATTTAAAATGAGTTCTAAATTTTTTTCTGATAAGATGAAACAGTTTTGGCTTCTTTTTTTTTTTTTTAAGAATGCATGACCCGACCGCGTCACAGGGTCATCGGTTTTGACCGGGTTTGGCCGGTTTTGTCCGAATTTTGACAGGGTCGATGCATGACCGGTCCAATGCTTGACCTGAACCGGTCTGATGACCGATTCGTTGGGTTCCGGGTCTGACCGAATTTTACAACAGTGATTCTTCCTATACACCATGAATTATAAATTATGAAAAATGAACATTATTCCTTTTTTAAAAGTTAAACTATGGCTTAATTAATCGGTAAGTATTTTTTTCATGTTTTATATATCCGCTTAAGTAGTAATATTAATTACAGAATATCGTTTTACACGTTGTAAATTATACTCTCTTTCACACAATAGGTTTTAGCTTAGTTAGTAACATAGGTTAAGTAGGTATGAGAGAAAACCTGAATTTGATTCTCACCAAATAAATCTTTGGAGAGAGACGAAGAGTTTTTACTATGACTAAACTCCAACTCAGGATTAATCTCATGCTCGGCTCAAGGAGCTGAAGCTTGTGAAAATATCTAGGAGTTGACTCGGTTCAAAGATATTATTATAGTCGGTGTAAAAAAAAGTATACTCTCCATCTTAATCCCTTGTATATCAATAAATAAATATTGGATAAACAATAATTGAAACGGTCAAATAATTACGTATATTGGCTGTACGTATTTCGTAGATATCAAATACTACTAAAAACCGATAAGAAGAATTGATGGTGATCACCAACTTCCGTTGAAAGCCCAAAAACAAAATAAAGCCGTATAATTAAAGAATGAAACGAGAGAAGAGACAATCAAGTAAGCTAACGTACATTCACATGTATGGATGATGCGAAGAAGGTTCATTACAACAAAGCAACCTAGCTAGTAATAGTATCAGCCGCATTATTTCAAACTTCAACAACAGCACATTAAAAAAGTATCATATATATAGGATTTCTTAATTGGCTCTAATATAGAATCACCAGCTCTATTATCATTATTATTATCTTATAATCCGTAGCTCTATTCTCAGTCTTCTACCTTAATGTTTTAAATAAACGTTTGTGTCAGCTTATATTTGCATTACCTTAATTATTATGTGGTAATTTTTTACCATGTATTTCTTTTTTTCTTTTTTTGAAAATATCCAATCGGTTCATCGTTTCGCAACTAATTCGATTCGGGACGAGTTCAGGATTAAGCCTTTAAATCCCTTTCAAATGTGATATTGGGGAGGATCGAACACATGCTCTCACCCTTACTTACTCAACTCTCATGCGTCAATTAAGCTACCACCATTTGATTTTTTTACCATGTATTTCAATCACAACAATGTATGTTTGGTGTTGTGACTGTAGGAGAATGAACTTGGATACTTTGTACACGTTAAAGTGGACGTGAGTGAGGAGGTGCACTTCTCAAAGAAAGGAGGTAAATCAAGCATGCGAGTAGGACCCAGTTCACCCAAAATGAGCTATGCTCCAAATGCAGAACCAATATGTCCAAGGATAAGTGTGTTCCAATGGGACAGAACCAATAAAAGATGCTACTAAATTGGAGGAAAGCAAATTGGAAAAAGGGAAAGGTCGGTTGTGTATTAGATTAATGTTACACGGTTACAGCACTTTTTAATATTTTATATATATGTATGTGCTGTTGCATGGAAAGTTTTAGCAGGTTAGGAAAAAAAAACACGTGATTCAATTAATCAGCGATGTTTCTTTTTACTTTCTTGTCATAGTTTAAAACAAGCCCCACTTTTTGCTGGCTAGCTATAGTATTAACTTTTTCTTCATAATTATCCTTTCTTCTTTTCTCTAACTTATGTCAATAAGCAAATCATGCTCTTTCAATTATATTATTTTGTCTCCAATTTTCTCTTTTAGCAGACAGATTATATATACATATCACTGCTCATTATATCTTAAAAATAATTAAGCCGGAGTTCCACAAACAGAAAATTTTGCCTATCAAATATAAACATAGTAAAAAATTTGGTGGTTATGTATTAAAGAAATATAATATCGTTAATGTAGTATTGATATCAGAGTCTTTGTTGATACATCATCCACCCTTCAAACATAACAGACTCTCTCTATACGAGAGCGTATTAGAAAAGGGGAAATAATTTCTGTGGCAGAAATTATTTATCTGCAAAAAGACAAAATGAGAAAGAGAAATTATAAAGGATGGGAGAGAAAAATATGATGGGGAGCTCACTACTTTTTTTTTCTTTCTGTGTGGTAGACAAATAATTTATGCCACAACTATATAAATCATTTCCTTATTAAAAAATATATAAATTCATTAATATAACTATTGAGTTGATTTGACTAATTTAGATTATGCAACTTTTGTTTTTGGGTTTAAATGCATCCGAATCAATTGTCCTAACCCTCCATGAAACGATTGTTTTGCCCTTAGTATCTCCTAGGGCTTTTGACCATACAAATTATGGATTAAATGTGTTTGTGAAAAGGGGTAGGTGCAAAGGGCCAATCAATATCTGGCACATGGCATACTTTGAAAAATTCAAGTCCCCCATGAAATGGACGCGCGACTTACACTATATCATCGCATGGACACACATGATAAACGTTTATTGATCCCATTACAAACACGCACCCACCCACCTTTTAAAATATACACAATCCTAATATATATATATATATATATATATATATATGGAAATGATCCGTTTATAATTTTTTTTTGCAAATTACACTAAGTATGACCTGTCATACACTCTTGATTGAAGTATGACCGGCCATACTTAGTGTAGTCTGTAAGAGTTTATAAACAAAAAGTTTGTAAATATAATCTTCCTCATATATATATATATATATATATATATATATATATATATATATATGGGTTTGTTTTCTCATGTTACATGAGAAAACAAACCATTCCTACACACACCATAAAAATGTGTGCCACTCTTTTTTGATATTTTTTTTAAATAGGTGGGTGTCACACTTAATGTATCTATAACATGATATTAGGATTTTTTTACAACATAAGATTTATTTTTTCCATATATATATATATGTAAGATCCTTTGACACCAGCGTCAAATTTCATATTTGACACCTCATCTGAGAGTCGTAAGATCAAAAAAGATTAACGACTCTGATTTGTAAGTATGTGATATCATTGATCTTTTTTTATCTAACGGCTATCAGATGAAGTGTCAAATTTGAAATTTGACACTTCGGTCAAAGGATCCTATCTCTCACACACACACACACACACACACATATATATATAGGGGAAGGATCCGTTTACAAATTTTTTTGACAAATTTTTACAATTTACATCATCTTCTCCTGGGAGAACATAGTGAAACCTAGTGTTCTCCCGAGAGAAGATAGTGTAGTTTGTAAACAAAAAAATTTGTAAGTAAAACCTGTCTCATATATATATATATATATATGGCAAATGTATTTCTCTTTTCTCATAAGAAATTTTTCTCCAGCAATTAATTTTTAATAAAGTCTGATTAATAAGACTTTGTTATACTAATAATTCTGCTTCATTTCTCTCTCTCTTCAGATATTGTTGGCTGACATGGCAGAGAGAGAAAAATAATTTTAAAGTCTTACTAGTCAAACTTTGTTAAAAAATTGGCTATTGCAGAAAAATTTTCATATAAAAAAAGAAGAAAATGGAGACCATATATATATATATAATATACACATACACTATCCTTGCATAAATGCATTGATCAGATAAAAAGAATTGGAATTTATTTTGGGTATTGATATGGTTGTTGTCTTTTCAAATCTCTTTAACAGCCATTATTAAACATGTGGCTACTCTACGATGTGGACGAGAAAATTTGGAGTGATCTCGGCTCACCTAGCTTTTAGTGGTCCAGCCGTTCAAAAGGTTACACATAGACTTATTAATCCATATCATTATAATAGCTGGCATTTTTTATTTTTTATTCATTAATATTTATTTCATTTCCCTCATCCCCTTCCCTTTTTTTTCTCCTGCCTCACTTTGTAAATGAAGTTTTCAATTTCCTTCTCCATTCTTTGTCTTTTCTCTCATTATTTTCTATTTCCTTCCATAGCTTGCAAGGAGTTTGTCGAAATCTGATCACTGTTAGCCGTAATTTGATTGTCGTTCGTCAAAGCCTTTCCCATTATTGATTTACCACAATATTTTGAACCAGAGTTCCATTACCGATTTACCATAATATTTTGTAGTGAAGAGGAAGGTGCATGTTATAAAGAGGTGTGTGACTTTTATATATAATATGGGGGACTATCATTTTTCATCTGCTTTGTTCAATTTTGTAAAAATAGAATGTGCATATTCTTCTTTTTCTTTCTACTATAAATCTGATTGTAATATGCTTGTGTTTTTTTTAAAAAAAAAATTCACCCCAAACTTGAGTTTTCTGGTCATCTTTATGATGTAAAATGAGCATCTTTTGTAGGATTTTTGCATATGGTGAAAATGAGCACTATTGAAAAAGAAATGGATAATTTTATATATTCAGATTTATCTTCATTTAGTTCCGACAGTGAATATGACAATGAACAAAGAGAGATGATGGTGGTTGTGAGTAAGGATCAAGATGGATATGAGCCAAAGATTGGAATGATGTTTTCAAATGAAGATGAAGCTTATAAGTTTTATAATGGATATGCTAAATTGGTTGGTTTTACTGTGAGAAAATCAAAATATCGAAGATTAGCAGATGGAACCATAAGTCAGAGAACATATGTTTGTGGAAAAGAAGGATATAGAAAATTGACGGACCCTTCACATGTGGACAAGAAAAATAAGAGAAACAAGAACTGGTTGTCAAGCTATGATACGTTTTAACATTGAGAAGGATACTTGGATTGTTTCTAAGTTCATAGCGGATCATAATCATGATCTTGTGAAATCATTTGCAGGAGCTACGTTAAGATCACAAAGGCATGTGGATGAAGCACATGCTAATGTGATTGAAGATATGGGCAATGCTGGATTAAAACAATGTAGTGTGTATTCATATTTTGTTGAAGCTGCTGGAGGAGCTGAAAATGTTGGATTTTTAAAATCTGATTGTAATAATTTTTTACAAAGTAAAAGAAACAAGACTCTTGAAGCAAGAAATGCACAAAGTGTTATTAATCATTTTAAAAGTCTTCAAGTAAATGACTCATCCTTCTTCTATACAATGCAAGTAGATTATGAAATCGCATGACTAATTTTTTTGAAGTGATGGCATATCAAGGACAGATTATAATCACTTTGGAGATGTAGTCATTTTTTACACTACCTACAGAAGAAACAAGTGTAATATGGCATGTGCACCTTTCATTGGGGTAAATCATCATAAGCAAACTGTTTTTTTTAGTTGTGCTTTCTTATTGAATGAAACAAAATAGTCTTTTGTTTGGTTATTTGAATCATTTTTGGAAGCAATGGATGGGTTGCAACCTAAAACAATTTTTGTTGATCAGTGTCAAGCAATGGCCAACGCTATTAAAAGAGTTCTTCCTAGATCTCAACATCGACTTTGCTTGTGGCATATTGGCCAAAATGCTGCTAAGCATCTTTCTTATTACTTGAGAAAACCTGATTTTAAGGTTTTATTTAATAGGTGTCTCTACAATTGTGGATCAAAGTAAGAATTTAAAAAGGTGTGGGCTCGTTTAGTCACAAAAGTTGATATTTCAAAATGCTCATTGTTGAAAAAAAAAATTATGAGTTACGAGCAAATTGGTGCCAAGCATTTAGTAAGAATTATTTCTCATTTGGCATCTTATCAACACAAAGAAGTGGGAGTATGAATAATGTTTTTCGTACTGTCACTTGCAAGACAATGTCTCTAACTCAATGTGTACTTCGTTATGAAAAAGTTTTGGAGCATAGACGATGGTCATAATTGCAAAAAGACATTGAGTGCAATCAATCCGCACCTCGTAGAGTAAAAGAACTTGAAGGTATTAGAATTGTTTGAATCTTTATCTGTGACAATTAAAAAAAATGAATGAAAATGGTACAGTTGAAAAAATTTATTTTCTTTTATTACAAGTATGACTGCACAAGTTGCACGGGTATATACTCAATTATTTTTGAAGAATTCTATGAAGAATTGTTTGGATCTTTATCTGTGGCAATTGAAAAAATCAATGAAAATGACACTTTGTTTTGTTACAAGTTAGTTAAAACTGGTGATGACAAATAATATTTTGTGACATTTGAAATTGCAAATTGCTCTATTGAATGTACTTGCAGAAAGTTTGAATCAGTTGGCCTCTTATGTCTTCATGCATTGAAAGTACTTAACTTTCACAATATTTTTGAAATACCTTCTCAATATATCTTGAAGAGATGGACAAAAAATGCTAAAGATGGTCTTAGTATAAGCAACAATGGCATCTAGGTTTGTGGCAGTGGTAAACAAAGAATTAATTTTCATATGAGTCAAATAATGAAGAAAACCATTTATTTTGCAACCAAAGATGTATTGATAGATGAAGCAACCAAAATGGCTGAAGATCACCTAGATCATTAGATAAAAAGATTGGAAATGATGTTAAAAAATATTAGTGGCATGATTGATAAGACTACAGTTGAATGTAAGACTAGTGGTGAAGAGATAAATGAGCATAATACATTAAAATCAAAAAAGTCTTAGATCCGTATCGTGTTCGAGAAAGGAGAGTTACAAATGCTAGACTCAAAAGTCAGCTAGAAAAGAAAAGGTGCAAGAGACATCAATCACAAGCTCTTGGTAAATCTCACGGTTCTAATGCATTCAAAAAAAGTTCTTTTGAATGGTAGGAGGTCTTGCAAGCTACCAACGAAGCTGTCATGCAAGTTTTCTAGAATGGTAGAAGGTCTTGCAAACGATAATGGAAGCTTTCATGCAAGTTTTTTTGAATGGTAGGAGGAGGTCTTGCAAGCTATCATGGAAGTGAAGACCTCCTACGTATTATGGAATATGGAATATATATTTTGATGATGACAAAGGGTTTACAAGAAGTCTCAAATTGAAGTTGGAGTTTGAAGATACAAGTGGTTAGGTATTTTTAGATATTTTGTTACACACTACATTATATCATATAGTATCTACCTAAGCTCCAATACATATCATTGTATTTCATGCATTTAATTACATTTTAAAAATCTGTTTTAATAAAAAAAAAAGAGAAAAGTATATTAAAAATTTGTTTTAATAAAAACCAAAAAGTAAAGGTATATATATATATATATATATATATATATATATATATATATAAAGAATCGGACCTAAATCTATGTAGCGCTACTTTTCTTATTTTGACATTGGTTGATTAATATATACAAATATGTGAACTTTTGTTTTTTTAAATATATCATATATGAAGTTACAAATTGCTTTGTCCAACGCAAGTACAGTGGTTCAGCTTTCTTTTTAAAAGTCATATAGAATAATACAAAAAGGAAAACTTTACTATTCAATTTCTTCAATACACACAGCGTTCTTTTTGTAACCGAGAGAAAAGAAAAGAGTATCACTTTATCACTTTCAGTTTTCATCTTTCATCCGAATACACTTTCACAGGGGTTTATTTCTTTCTACACATTTTTTCGTTTGAAAACACTTTTCTTTGAAGAAGGCTTAAGAAAAATTGTGAGTCAACAACTACATCGAGCGGCGAGCAGTTTTTTGAAAACGTTTCTGGCATCGGTTCTTTCTTCGATGCGCGCTGTTATGATTTTTTTCTTGGATGCGCGCTGTTATGATTTCTTTCTTGGATGCGCGTTGTTCTGATTTCTTCTTTGGAATGTTGTACTGGTGAGTTTACACAACACATATAATCTGAGTAAACTCAAATCGGTATTACAGAGATACAAAAAGTTGGGGCTTTTTACGGTATACTCAAGAAACTCAAATATTTTGTGAATCTTTGATTTAAAGCATTTAATCTGAAATTTCCAGATCTATTATTTCATATGCTTTAGGGATTTTGAGTTGTTTAATCTGAATATTAAATATCTTGAGTTGTTCATTGGTATAAAAATTTACTGTTAAAATTTGGAATCTGATTTTTGTTTGGCATTTATTGTTTAGAAACCTAATCTTGAATTGTTCTAGAAATTTTATTGTTGGAATATTAAATCTGAATTTTCTGTTTTAATTGAAGTATATTGTGATTAAAATTCAGATTTCTTTTGGTTTATTATTAAAAGATTTATCTAGAACTAATTCTGAATTTTATGTGAAATTTTGAGATAAATTTCAAATCTGATTTTTCTCGTTATAATTATGATATTCTTTTTAAATCAGATTTCTTGGTGTCCATTGATTAGAAAAATAATTGTGTAATATCCAAGCTCCTTTGTGCATTAATTTTAGAGATTTTAATACATATGTCATTGGATTAATTTTCTGCATATGGCATAAATTTGTGGAGCTTAGTTTGATATTACCTTGATATATTTGGTGTGATAGGATACTGTAATTTTGGTTTATTTCACTTGTTAAAGTTCTGAAAAATTCTGTATTGGTTGTTAAAGTGGAGTAGTTGCTTGCTGTAAATTTGTCCTAGGAGTGTGGGTGCAACCGTGTGGGTTGGAGACCTTGTGCTCGGCTTGAGAGTGCGTCTCAAGGCCTGGAGCCTCAAGAATCCACTAGGGAGAGTGGAGGTCTTGTGAGAGGAGTTGGTGAACTCCGTAGGTTCGGCTTGAGAGTATTCTCAGAGCTTGGAGCAGTGTAGGAACTAGGAAGATTTTTGATATTTTGTTTGATTGCCTGTGTGACGCGTGTTTGTAAAACTAGTACACTTGTGATTAATAAAATATCTGCAGCTACTTCAGTCTGGACGTAGCACCCTACTTAGGCTTAGTGGGTGTAAATTAGGATATATCGCGTGTCTTTTGTCTCTCTGTTTTAATTTCCGAATATTCTGTTTAGAGACTTAAAGTAACACTGATTTCTGGTTTAAAAGTGTTGTAGCAGAATTAATCATTTTCTGTTTTGTTTGAGAAAATTACATTGCTGCGTTTATACTCTATAAATTGCTAAGGTACGCATTCTGTTACTACATTGTTCTTAGCATTGTGAAAAATTATCTTGGGCATATAGGGACTGTAGAAAAAGTTTTTGAAAAAGTTTAGAACCCCTATTCACCCCCCCCCCCTCTAGGTGTTCCATAAGCGTCCTGTGTAAGAAGCCATTTGCCCAACAAGTGGTATCAAAGCTTCGTGCTCTGAGTGATTGGCTATCTGCCAAAGAGTTAAAGATCCTATGGCTTCTTTCCATCAGGATATTCCTCTTGAGGGTGGTTCCACCTATCGCTCTCCGTTTTTCAATGGGATTGATTATCCCTACTGGAAAACAAGGATGCAGATTTTCCTTGAGTCGGTAGATCTTAAAATTTGGTATAGTGTAGAGGAAGGATATCAGCCTCCAACTAGACTAGATGACAATGGTAAAAGTGTGCTTAAAAAATACACAGAGTTTACGAGAGCAGAATTAGAGAGTGCCCAATACAACTCAAAAGCAAAGAACTTAATAGTTAATGCACTTGGTAAGAATGAATACTATCGAGTATCTTCATGTAAGACCGCACGTGAAATGTGGCTTATTTTAGAAACAACCCATAAAGGTACTAATGAAGTAAAGTGTTCTAAACAAAATGCATTATCTAGAGCGTTTGAGCTCTTTGAGATGTATGAGGGCGAGTCTATATTTGACATGCAAAAACGTTTCATGCATATAGTTACATCAATGAATGCTTTAAATATTTTTCATGATGATGAATTGTTAGTTAACAAAATTCTGAGGTGTCTTACTAAGGAATGGGATGCAAAGACTTCGGCAATCTATGAAGCTAAAGATCTCTCCACAATGTCCATTACTACCTTATTTGGAAAGCTTCAGGAATACGAGTCGAAGTTAAACAAAAGGGCTAAGCGTGAGCTTAACAAGAAAAATTCAAAAAGTATAGCTCTAAAAGTTTCTTCTTCCCAATCCAAACAAAGTAAGAAAAGTACTGATACTTCTTCAAGTGAATCAAGCACCGGTGAAGACGATGAAATGACAATGTTCGTGAAAAAGTTTAACAAGTCGTTCACCAAGTTCTTCAACAAAAAGTTCAACAAAAGGAGAAGAAGGGCCAGCAACCAAAGTAGAAAAGAAAGCAACTCAAACAATGCTTGTTTTGAGTGCAGAAAGGAAGGCCACTTCCAAAAGGACTGCCCGAACAAAAAGAACAAATATGACAATGGCAAATTCAAGAAAGGTAAAAGCAAAAAGAAGAAAGCTTACATGGCATTTTTGGATGACACTTCAAGTACCACAAGCTTCTCATCAAGTGAACAAGCTAACCTTTGCTTAATGACACAAATTGAAAAAGATCAAAATGAGGTATATTCTAGCCACTCTTCTAGTTCTATGTGGGATTCTGATTCGGTATGTGATTCTAATTCAATATGTAGTTCTAGCTCCTCTTGTGATACATCTTCTATGGTTGGTCCATCATATGATGATTTGTTGTATGCTTATAAATGCTTGCAAGTTGAAAATGAAAAATTAACCTCTAAGGTTAAGAAAATTAAAAATGAGAAAAATTGCTTGCAAAACAAAGTTGATAGTTTGACCACAATTGTAAATGATCTAATGAAAGACAATGAGGATCTTAAAAATGAAAATCTTTTCATGAATTGTCTTGTTGGATCATGTGATGATGTGAACCCCCCCCTTCCACTATTTCATGTACTAAATGTGTTGAATTATCTAATGAAGTGGATAGGTTGAAAATAATGGTTGATAGAATGACTAGTGGGAGAGATAACTTGAATGTTCTCCTTGGTAGACAAAGGGTTGAGACTACTAAACATGGACTTGGTTTTCAAAAACCTCCCTTTGCTCAACCAAGAAAGACAAATCAATATCCTCCTAAGTTCATGTCTAAGCTACCATTTAAGAAATGTACATATTGTTGCATGAGTGGTCATCTTGTATATCAATGCAATATTAAGAAATATGGCCTAAAAGGAACTAATCTTAAGTGGGTTCCTAAGAGGACTATAAATGTGAGCAACATTGCTTCAACATCTTATGGACCTCAACCTAACACATATAGCATGTTCTTTAGCCCCAAGGTTAAGAACATGATATATGTTCCTAAGAAAACTTAGTGAGCATGTATGCATCATGTGCCATGGACTATTTTATTTGATAAATCATTTTGCACATGATGTCTAGTTGTTGTTTGGTGTTTAATATGACATGCATAAACTGTTTTTAACTCATCTTATGTTATACATGTTCAATATAAATGGTCTATATGTTGATAGAAAGCTTACTTTATGCACTACATGCTTATGTACTTGAATAGTCCACTATTTTACTCTTATATTCAATTCTATCAAAATAGGACAGCAAGCCTATTT